GTGATTTATTTTTACTATCTTTTTTATCTGCCAGTGTTACTAATAGAGCAGGGCAGTGTGCTATTAAATATTACTATAGAAAAGAAGACAATGTGCTGATGTAGAAAGAGCCTTGGATGCCTTCCTCTGCTAATTGTTAGCTTCATAACATTGAACATGCCATTTACTGATAACAATTATATTAAAAGTTATTAATTGAACACTTGTGCTAAAAGCTAAATAATAGGGACATAATATCAGAGTTTTATTCAGGAAAACAATGTCCAAGGCACTTAAATAGCCTGATGAATATCAGAAGAAGATGAAATTGTATAAAGTAGCTAGTAGACAGCCTGTTACAATGAAGAGTGTGTCATAAAACAGAGGGTTTTAGTGTTGCTGTATATATTATAAAAACAATAACAAAATTAATTACTCAAACTTTTTTTTGAACAATGCTTATATGTTTCAGAGAAATTCAACCAATAATTAAAAAAGCAAAATGTAAAATATTTGGGGGGAAATAAAGCCTTTATAAGCATTTTTTAAAAATACCTTTCTGTTTATTGGAAACTGTATTATTAACCACATAATTCTAATCTCCACCTGATTTAGTACTTCTCAGTACTATTGTTGGTTATCTTGATGAATGCTGATGATGATGAAGAAAATCGGCCAGGTGATATCTGAAAGCGATGGGCTTTTAGAGGCTTCAGTGGTCATTTCTTTTAAGATTTATTTGATTAGCCTTTATTCATTAATGTGGCTGCTAACATGCTATAGTGCTGACATCTGGTACTCACTTTAGCATAGGAATAGTTCAGTTTATCAAATTAGTTCTCATCATGGGATTGTTTTCTTTTTAAAATTTTTTTCATATTACATGGCTGGATACTTTCTGGGGGATTGTTTTCTAGAGCACTAGGTGAATGTAAAACATTACATTGTAGCTGATTCATATATTTATTCATTAGTATGGTCTTGTACTTTATTTTGTCATTGTTAGACACATGAAGATGAAAAATATTTTATTTATATATAAATTTATTTTTGGCATTGAGCATGCCAAAAATTTGGCATTATTTTTGAGCATGCATTTTTAAGATAATTCAGAAATACAAATATTGTTAAGATAAATATCATACTTTGTTTTCTAATTTTATGTTTTATTTTGCTTGATTTTTAGGACGAATAACCTTTACAGAACCAAATATTCAGAATGTGCCAAGAGATTTTGAGATCAAAATGCCAACACTAGTAGGGGAAAGCCCACCTTCCCAAGCCATAGGCAAAGGCCTGCTTCCCATGGGCAGGTAGACTGTTTCTCTATATCTGTATTAATATACTTTTGTGAGTATGAATAGCTCAAAAATAGTTTACTAGACAAAATTATGAAATTAGTTTAATTTTTATGTTCCAGACATACCCATTTATGTTCTAGACATTATTCATTTCAAATCTATAGTCTGTCTATAAAGAAGCTAATTGATGGTGAAAGGCTGAAAACATGGACCTCTAATTAAATCAACAGCACTATATGCTTAATTTAAGTGAAATACTAAAGGGAAGAGTTTAGCAATGTCAGTGACATCCCCACTCCCGCCCTCCCATATACACATAAAAGGAAGGAAAAGCACAGATATTTATATTAGATACGGTCAAAGAGATTTGTTGAGTTCAGGTAAATGTTGTGAATTATCTCAGAAGCAGTTTATGGGAAAGGCTATTACAGAAATATCTTGATGTTTAATTCAGTGTTTGCTATAAGAAGTCATCTAGTATCTTTGTTAAGCTTCCAAGTGAGTTTCAGATGAGGTTGTTAAGTTTCTTAGATGGAAATATTGACTTTACCAGAAATCAGATCTTTTTCATATGTTTGAAACTGCCTCATGTCCATTTGATGATGTTTGCACCACAGAGGACAAAATAAGAAGGGCTGTAGCCTGAACCCTGGGCGCCAGGCACAGATGGAAGAGAGAGCTGCAGATAGAGGAATGCCATTTTCGGTTAGCATGCGACACGCCTTTGTGCCTTTCCCAGGTAAGGTGGCTGATAGTGTTTGAACTTCTCATTGCTGTGGGAATGTTTTTTAAAACACTGATAAACTCTGAAGTATGGTGAGACTCAGAAACATGCAATGGTCCCTCTGTCTTTTCTCTCTGCAGTGGAGCTTGTTTCTCTCTCCCCTTTGCTGTGCCAGGCCTACAGCAGTCGTCATTGTCTTCGTAGTATGTGTGAAACTTCTGTGCTGTGTGCTTACCAGCAGCAGTCTGCTGAAACCATGTTTTCTGAGGTCATTGTAAACCTCTTTGCAAAATCCTATAGATTTTGTCAGTACTCATCCTCTTTGACTTCCCTGCAGTATTTGTCACTGTTCATCAACTTTCTCCGTCCTCAATTTCTCTCCTCCCTTGACCTCTAAGGGCACAATTTGTCTCTCTTTCTGACTTGCTTTGGTCTTGTGTTTCTTCCTTTTTCCACACTGCTGCTTCCCTTTGCTATCCTAAGGCTGTCCTCCATCTGCCTGATCTCCCCTCAGTACTCTAATCATAAACCTTTTTGTCTTCAGAACATTTGGAATTTGTGATCTAACTCCCAGATCATCCCTACTATTAGTATGCATATTTGCTCCTCTATGTTTTGCCCACTGGTAAGTCCAGGTGAGTGCAATTAACCCTCTGAATTTATTTAAGTTCCATCAGAAACATATTCAAAGGGTGAATTCAGGTCTGGGATAACATGACCTGCTTGACAATTTTTAGTTTTGCTTTTTAAGTATGAACTGTCAGCATGCAAAATTCAGTCAGAGTTACCCAAAGGAGTCTCCAGAAGGTCTGTGTGGTGTATGGTAATTTAATGGAAGTTATGCAATCCTGAGTTTCTCTGTTTGTGTTCTAAGGGAAGAAGCATGGCTGGATTTAAAAGCAATATTATTTAATAGGAATTTAATGTGAGGCACATTTGTAGTTTTAAATTTTCTAGTAGCCACATTATAAAGATTTCCCCAGTTCAATATTTGAAAGGTCTCACCAGATTCCACAGAGTACACTCACATGGGGCATTTATTTAGAAGCAAAGGATATGGTGCAACAAAAGAAAGAGAGTGTAGGTAAGTATTTGGGGTCCAAGAGACATTCCACGTACAAGCTCCCAGACGTCTTTATTCACACAGAGGGACCACACTTTCTCTCTGGCTTGAACTGCGAAGATCTGTAAGAGAAATCTAGGCGTAAGGAGAGAGAGCTCAAAGCAGAGGTTCCCAGTGGGACTTTTATGCCTCTCTGGCTATATAATCAAGCCAGGCTGACTTAATTGGTTAGGCCAGTGGCAAACTATCAGTAAAGAAACTAAACCTGTGGATTAGTAGGGGGAATTTCAGAGCTTAATTTATTGTTAATCCCACTGCCCTAATTTTGGCCAAGAGTCAAAAACTGGTTGTCCTGGTGTCCCTGGAGATGGACGTAGAACTTTTCTAGTTCACCTATCTTCTCTATCTTCTAAATACATTAAAATGGTGGTGG